GCAGAGTAAGCCCTCAGTAAATTCCCCAATAAGGGAACCAGAGGTGGAAACTTGGAACAGATTCCCACTGGGATGGTTCAGCCACGTTAAATGATTGATTTGGTTCCAAGAGTCTGAATAAAGCCAGGAGATGGCTTTGTGGAGGAGAGAATATTCCAAGGGTAGAGGGGTGTGCCATAGCTGGAGTTTTGGTATCTGCTGATGGGAAGTGAGAGAGAGGACTGTCGATGGAGACTGTCCATTGAGAGCCACAAGGGGTCAGGTTAGCAGGATGAGGGAGAGGGGCTGTGTCAGGAGGCAGGGATGAGAGGCCAGCCCTGGTGCCCGTAAGAGGAAATCAAGAGCAGAGGTCTGCGTGTCTGGAAGTTAGGAAGGGTCCGTCATCATTGTCTTGAGCCAGACAGAATTAGTAAAGGCTGCCTTGCCTAGGAAAAACATGAGGAACTGAAATATCATTTTCACTTACTATCGTTTTGCAGATTGAACAGTTTGGGCTTCTATAGAAATACAAAGAGTGTTTGTTTTGAAAAATCACATTCATTCTTAATTCTTACCTCCCAGCTTGCAAGAAAAAGCTAGAAAAAGAAGAAACTATGCTTTCTATATATAGTGATAGCTTCAGTTCAAGAGCATGTACATAAATTCTTAAATGTCAGATGTCAACACAATTTTCAAAGTTAGTTAAATAAATGAGGACCCAGTGGTTGATCTTGAATACTTTCAGCATTTGGGATTTCAATCTGCCTTGGATTATAACTTTACAGAAATCCTCTGTTTGCCATGAGATGAAGACTCGGGGGCTATTTACAGCTCAGGAAAGCATGCAAATTCCAAAATCAGACTAATTTTTTCAATAAAGGTTTTTCCTGTAGTGCTTTAGAAACTTAGAGTGGATAATTCAGTGCTCAAAAAAGCAAAAATGCGTCCTAGTTTAATTGGGCATGGCGCTGTGTGTGTGTGTTTAGGTTGTTCTTTCCTCCCTTGTCTTTTTTTTTCTATTACTTTGTTTGTTTGTTTTTAATGTTTATTTTTTGAGAGAGAGAGAGAGAGAGAGAGAGAGAGAGAGAGAGAGAGACAGAGCATGAGCAGGGGGAGGGGCAGAGAGAGAGGGAGACACAGAATCCGAAACAGGCTCCAGGCTCCAAGCTGTCAGCACAGAGCCAGACGTGGGGCTGGAACTCACGGAGCGTGAGATCATGACCTGAGCTGAGTCACACGCTTAACCGACTGAGCCACCCAGGCACCCTTCTATCACTTTATTTTTAAGAGAGGGGAGGTCAGAAACCATTCCCTTCAGAGAATAGGCCAACCAATAAATGAGTTACTAACAAACCACTAGGCTACATAAAAAGGTGCCATGTTCTTAAACATGGTCAGGTCTGTCCTAGAGACAGGGACTGGGGCGGAGTGGCCTTCGGAGAGTAAGGGACCAGCCTGGAAAAACAAATCCTCTCCAGTTCATGACTGCATCATTGACTTCATGTTTTCTGATAAAATCCAGGCCATTTTATAAACCTGTCCTCACATCTTTGTTTTTAAGCCTGACTACATGTCGTCAAGGATGTGAAGCCTGAGACTGTGTGCCACGACACCACAGGCCACGGCCCAGACACTCCCAGAGGACACAGAATGCGGGGCTGTCCCCACACTGCCTCCTGTGCCTCTCAAATGGGATCCTCATGAAATTCGATGTAGCACAATTAAATTAAAATAATTCAGCACCAGTATATAGCTGTCAGACCTCAAAGTAATTTTTCCAAGAAGGATTTTTAGGCTCGAACCCCGTGCTTCCTGATGACCACAGAATCATCAATGTGGGAGAAACCTGTCCCACGGGTTTTCATTGGAGCTGCTGTCGAAGGCTCCTGCATTCAAGGCCTGACCCTGTGAGCAGAATCTAGGTGCAGAGCTATGACAACCATTATGGCAGGTGGCTGGAGGCCAGTCCCTCCCTTGGTCCCTGCTCTGGAGTCCCCTTCAGTGCTAACACATTCCTTTCATTGGAGGATCATCGATGGATCCAAGAGGCCACAGCACCCATGGTGAACCAACCGTCCCCATGACCTGCTGGGGAGAGAGAACTGTGCTCTTTGTTTCAGTGTCTGCACGTTTCTTTCCCCTTCAAAGTGGGTTGCTCTGGACCTGGATCGGGAGGCTGTTCAGCTTAGAGTCCACTAGGGGAAGACAGTATACGTGTGTGCCCAGCACCACAGTGACTGTGACGGTCCCGATGCTGAGATGGGGTGCACTGTGGGTGTCACACAGGTGCAGGCAGGCAACACTGACAGAGGGAAAAGAAAGCTCCGTGGGAGAAGGTCAGATCTGCCTAGGGCAGATGTGGTTGGGTTCCACTGAGATGTTGGTGGCAGCTGAGACATGAGGGTGCGTGGGGGATGGGGGTGCAGAATGGAAGCGTGCAGGAGGAGGCAAGACACAGGACACAGAACACAGGGAAGTCAGTATGATGACTGAGTGGTTTGAAGGCTGCTCTCGGCCCACGTCCCCTTTGAAACTGGCACCAGGGAGCGCCTGGGTGGCGCAGTCGGTTAAGCGTCCGACTTCAGCCAGGTCACGATCTCACGGTCCGTGAGTTCGAGCCCCGCGTCGGGCTCTGGGCTGATGGCTCGGAGCCTGGAGCCTGTTTCCGATTCTGTGTCTCCCTCTCTCTCTGCCCCTCCCCCGTTCATGCTCTGTCTCTCTCTGTCCCAAAAATAAATAAAAAAACGTTGGAAAAAAAAAATTGAAACTGGCACCAGCCATAGATGAGGGGCTGGAGCAGGCTGTCAGGTGAGGCTGAGAGCGTCCGTGGGGACAGCGGCCGACCAAGCACAGAAAGGAGACCCACAGGGCAGATCTCAGGGCTGGCGTGAGCAGGACGGAAGGAGGCATGGGGAAGGGAGCCAAGTGCAGACTCAACTCCTCCCCTCTCTCTCTCTCCCGGCCCTTGTAAACATTTCCAGCTGCTCGTTGCACACCCAGTATCTCCAATTCCCTCCCGGTTCATATGTCTAAAGCGCGATGAACCATTTTTTCTGGAAAATCGTCTTCCCCTCTTGGCATTCTTACTCTCTCCTGGTCCCACCAGCCCTGGCCTCTGGATTCAGCTCCCTACCCCCTCTTCTCCCCCCTGTACGGAGTCATAGGGTCCTGTTTTCCGTCCTCCAGTAGAAGCTGGGTGCCAGCTTCTTCCTGCCCAGGGCACTGCTCACCCTAGCCCACCTGCACTCTCCGTCTGCACCTGTCGGTGGCCTCATGAAGGCCCACACGTGAGCTTCTCCCCATGTCATGTTCATGTGCCAAACTGGGGGTCCCTGCTCCTCTGTGCTGTATGGGGCACGCTTTTCCGCAGGCCATTCCTCGAGCCTGTGTGTTCCTAAAGCCCACGGCCCTCCTTCCTGCTCCAATTCTGATTTCCTGACCTTGCCTCTTATGATTTAGCTGGGAAAATGCAATCAGGTTTGAGCCTGCTTCCCTCACCCAGCAAGTCCCCCGAAAGCATCCCCATTCTTTCTTCCCTCCTCCCACCCGGAGGTGGTTGCTCCGATGCCCCCTGGGACCCCTACCACCTCTGCTCCTGACAGAGCCCTTGCGTCTGTGCTCACACGTTGTTCCTTCAAGTGTACCTTTTCTTTTCATTGTGTGAATTTCCCCCTTTACTTCCCCTTATGCAAAACACTCAATGGCAATAACTATTATTGCTTGTATTTACAGAGTCCATGATTTTCATAGCAATCCTAGGACATGCATTTTATTGTCCTATTAAATAACGAGGGAAACAGACAGAGAATTAAGTCACCTGCAAAGCACCACACAGCTACTAAGTGTTAACAGCCAGAATTTGAACTCAGGCAGAAAGACCAAAACACCCACCAGCTTGGCAACTCCATCCGAGTATGGCTCACGCTTCTCCTGAATCAAGGGAAACAGGTTTCCCTTGACCTCCCCTCTCCCCTAATGTCACCTTTATCTTAGCCCTGCCATTGATTGTGAACCCTTCAGTTCACATTCACTGTTTCTGCTTTCTTATCTGCCACGTGCTCCTTCCCCTGCTGCAAAGGGGCATCTCCAAGTCCGTAGATGTGGCCCTTGTGCAGCTCAGCAGGGATCACAGAATTGTCATTCTGACAGCACGTTTGCACCCGAGGGGGGTCTCTTCCTCTGAGTCCTGGGTTACCAGTTGCTTCCACTTCTCAGAAGACACTTGAGTATCTGGTCTGCCGTACGGTGGTGTTTCTCCCAGAGCGTGCATTCGCCATTCTGATAACACGTGAACTCTCGGCGGACAAAAATATTTTCCGCCTCTGAGTTCTACGCTGTGTGCTTAGTGCCGGCACGTCGCTCATGCTGGTGACCGACTGGAACTGGAACGTAATCGGAATCTCTACAACCGTTGAAAATAAGGTGATGCGACTTGCACGCTTTGACTCTTTAACTTTGCTTCTCCTGCCTTCCAAGGCGACAGACTTTGGGTAACAAGAGTTTTTTAATCAGAGTGCGAAAAACTAAAGTTGTCTAAGAGACGCAAAGGCAGACGAATCCTGATTTTTTTGTTTTGCCCCAATAGCTCTGGACAACCTGCGTGGCCCCAATACCATGTCACTAAACACGAGCTTCCAAGGGAAGGAGAGGGTGCTCCAACAGCCACCGCAGAGGTTTATAAAAGAAATCCTGTTTTTCAACTTCCTGTTTTACCTGTGAACTTGCTCAGACTTAGGGTTTATTAATCACGTTGTCAAAGGCGTGGTGAGGAGGTGACAGAAGGACGGGTCCCCAAGTTCATTGTTCCTGGGACTGGGTAAACACGGGGTAAATTTAGGACCCAGTGACTCCGCCAAATTGATTTGCTCCCTGAAGCTGCAAACACGTTTCTCTGTGCTTCTGGGGGGTGTGGCGGG